CCCCCCATCATCCTCTCTTCGGGGTCTCCCCCACCCAGGGGTCTGCCTCGTCCCCCATCATCCCCTCTTTGGGGTTCCCCCCAGCCCTGGGGTCTCCCCTATCCCTATCGTCCCCTCTGCTTGGGGTCCCCCCAGCCCAGGGGTTTGCCATGACCCCCATCGTCCCCTCTTTGGGGTCCCCTCAGCCCTGTGACCTCCCTGTCCCTACTGTCCTCTCTCTTTGGGGTCTCCCCAGCCCTGGAGTCCACCCTGACCCCCACATTCCCTCTTTGGGGTCTCCCCAGCCCTAGGGTTCGCCCTGTCCTCCATCATCCCCTCTTGGGGTCCACCTTGTCCCCCACTGTCCCCTCTCTCTGGGGTCCCCCTAACCCTGAGGTCCACCCTGCCCCCCAGGACCCCCTCTCTGTGCTCCCCACCCCCCTGTCCCTGTGGGTCCCCCCAACCCCGAGCTCCCCGCTGTTCCTCCTTCCCCGGTGTCCCCCCATCCTTGGGGTTCCCCCCTTGTCCCCTGGGGTGTCCCCCCACTCACACTTGACAGCGTGCAGGACCCGGCTGTCCAGGGGCTTCCTGCTGGGGTTGTTGCTGGAGGAGCGGATGCCGGTGCCGCAGCTGTTGGCCAGGGTGTTGCTGGAAGGGGAGAAAGGGGGGGAAAAACCCAAAAAAAAGGGGGTGAGAATCCACAGGACCCCAAAAACCGTGTCGGGGAGGGGAGAAGGGGACCATCCTTGGAGTCCCCTTCCTTGGAGATTTTCAAGCCCCGCCTGGATGCTCCTGAGTAACACGCTCTAGCTCTGGGCAATCCTGCTGCAGCAGGGGGGTTGGACTAGATGATCTCTATGGTCCCTTCCAACTCTAGAAATTCAGTGAAATTCAGTGAAATCCTCGCTCACCGGTCGAAGAAGGAGGCCAGGAGCCGCCGCAGGAGGACTTTGTGCCGCGTCCCCGCGCTGACGTGGCAGTTCATCAGCTGCGCCCGCGTGATGTAGACGTTGGTGCCTGGAAAGGGGGGGACAACGGACCCAAAACGGGGGGGTTAACGGGACCGGGTACCCCATGGGGATCCCCCACCCACCCCACACACACACACTGGGCTGTGTAGGGAAGAGCGTGGCCAGTGGGTCGAGGGAAGTCATTCCCCCCCTCTGGAAGTCATTCTCCAGGTCTGGGCTCCCCAGTTCAAGAGGGACAAGGAGCTACTGGGAAGAGTCCAGCCAAGGGCAACAAAGATGATTCAAGGATTGGAGCATCTCCCTGATGAGGAAAGAGCAGCTGAAGGAGCTGGGAGTGTTTAGTTTGAGGAAGAGGAGGCTGAGGGGAGACCTCATCACGCTCTACAACTCCTTGAAAGGACACTGTAGAGAGGTTGGGGCTGGTCTCTTCCTTCTCACAGGTAATTAATGACAGAAAAAGAGGGAACAGCTTCAAGCTCCACCAGGGGAGGTTCAGACTGAACATTAGGAAGGAATTTTTCACAGAAAGAGTGGTCAGAGACTGGAACAGGCTGCCCAGGAGCTTGAGTCACCATCCCTGGGTGTGTTTAAGGGATGTTTGGATGCGGTACTGAGGGATATGGGGCAGGGAAGGACCATGTAGAGTAGGGGAGATGGTTGGACTCGATGATCCCAAGGGTCTCTTCCAACCTGAATGATTCTATGAAAGGCTGAGAGAGCTGGGACTCTAGCCTGGAGAAGAGAAGGCTGAGGGGAGACCTTATCAATGCCTGTAAGTACCTAAAGGGTGGGTTGGAGGAGGAGGGAGCCATACTCTTTTCAGTGGTTGCCAGCGATAGGACGAGGGGTCCAGCACAAGCTGGAACATGGGAAATTCCACTCAAATATGAGAAAAAACTACTTTTTTCCAGAGTCCTGGAACAGGCTGCCCAGAGAGGTCGTAGAGTCCCCTTCTTTGGAGACTTCCAAGACCCATCTGGATGCTCCTGAGAAACGTGCTCCAGGTCTGGGCAATCCCGCTTCAGCAGGGGAGTTGGACTAGATGATCTCTCCCAACTCTAAAAATTCAGTGAAAAACCCTCCCGGGGGGGACGTACCCGTGACAAGCTCCAGCTTCTCGGCGGGGTCCCCCTCGTCGTAGAGCTTGGGGTGGCAGCGGTTCCCGATCTGGCTGATGAGCTCGGCCGGCAGCGAGGCCAGGTCCTGCCGCACACGCACCCGGGTCCGCGACTCCGAGCTGGCCTGGTCCGGCAGAGCCTCCACCTTCTCCACGGCTGGGGGGGCCACAGA